TAATATAATATAATATAATATAAGAAAAATTTAAATTCCCAGGGGTTTAACTAAGTGCCTCTGGGACAGGTCTCAGTGATCAATATGAAGGAAATATCTCCTTCTGCCCCTGCTCCTCTGTACCAGTTCTTCCTTTCTGGTGGACCTCCCCAATCTTTCTTCCTGCTTATGTTAATTTTACCCAGGAGATATGCAAGGAGAGGCATCTGGGCATCTCTAATGCCCTGTCCCTTATGAGACCTGGGAGAATCAACTGGCTGGGAGTCACCTAATGTCTGTGCTATGAGGAAAGACTGAGTGAGGGGGTCAAGATCCTTGATGCTAAGGTGTAGTCAGAGAACAAATCAGATGCAGGGCAGATTAATGCTAGAGACCATAGAATGCTGATGGACCATCAAACTGGATTAACTTCTTTCTCTAGGAGGAATTGCTGGGGGTGATTTTTCTCTCAGAAATGCTCACATTTGTACTGTGATTTCGAACTTTATGGATATTTCCCATGAGGCAAGGCAAACTTAGGCTTGTGTTTACCTGAGACTTGGATTTTTGTTGGGGGCTAAAGAGTTTTGTGTTGCGGAGACGGTTTGGAAGAAGAGTCGGAGTCTAGAAATATTCAACTAACATGGATAAGGGAGAGGAGGAATGGCAATGCTAGCATCCCCCACCCCTGTCTCCATGGCTTTTATTCCGTTTCCCACAATGCTGGCTTTGTAATTTATAAATAGTTACTATCAGGTTAGTAAATACAAGCTACAGCCAACTCCCAGATTCAGCCTCAAGGCCACCCCCGTGTTCTCAGCCATTTCTTCCTAAGTATCTTTTTTTAGTCCCTAGAGCAAGAAGTCCCAGAATCGGTTTGGCGTGTGTGCCCTCCCTGCAATGTGTCCTTGTGTGCAAGTCCACATCTGCTTCTGATGTCCTTGTTGCTCCAAGCACCAGGCATCCCGCCAGGACTGCAGGTGTCTCTTACAACATTTTGAAGCCAGAGCCCACTTCCTCCCCAATATTCCCTTCTTTCTGCACATCACTCTCCTTTTTACATCTTGTTCAAGGAAGCCCTAGGACTCACTGTATCCAGTTCTATCAACTCCTCCTCCTTCTGTGTGTAAAGGAAATCCTCCATCTAAATCCAAGATGGAGATGGTAGAGGCCAGGTTATGAAAAGAGGAAATAAGAGGGGAAGCGAGATTTACCCCAAGTTTTAGAATCCAGAGAGAGAAGAAGGATTTGTAAAGTGTGGAGACAGCTAGAGACTGGGGAAGGGAGCGGGGAGTGTCCAAGCCTGCAGCATCTCTGGTGGCAGTGGGAGTGTGTTTGTCAAATGTGAGCAAGGGTGAAGTAAAAGCCAGTAGGGGCCAGGGGACAGAGATTCTACTTATTTTCTGTGGGATTTAGCAAAATCCACAAACATGGTTTTAAACACAAGACAGTATCTGCAGATGTATGTGGTGGTGGCTCAGACACCAGCTTTGGGGCAGAAGCAGCATGAGGCAGAGCAGGTAGGATTCCTGCCTAAGACCCACCAGGTAGAAGAAGACTAAGTGTAGTGAACTGAGAACTTCTTCCCAGAAAAGTAATGAAGAGGCACAAAGTGCTGACAGGTTTCTCTTTCTCTTCCCACAGATCTTGTACAGCAGGGTTTCCTGGCCTGACAGTACTGTCCTTCTGCCCCCAAGGCTCTGCCTTGCCCGCAAGTCCTCTGGCTCTCATCCCCAGGACCTCTGGGACCTGACCCATCTTCCGCACTGGCCTCTGACCCCAGGAGATGAGGGGAACCTTTTGGCCTCTACCAGCCCCCAGACCTCCACCTACCACCTGAGGGGTCCTGCCCAGGCCAGTTATGGCCTAGGAGGCTACCTGGAGGCCATCCTTGTGGCCAGAGACCATCGAGGCAAGCCCAAGACCTATGGCAGGGATCTGTTTTGGGCACAGCTGCTGGGTCCTGACTTGAAGGCAGGGGTCTCTGGGGATGTCCAGGATCTGGAGAATGGCACATATCTGCTGTCCTTTCACCTGCTTTGGGCTGGGCAGGCCCAGGTGCAAGTGCAGCTGATCCACTCCAGTGAGGCTGTTGGGGTTCTGCGAAGAATCTGGAGAGACCAATGGGCCACAGTCAATTTATGGGCTATTTTCGGGGACCTGCAGGATATAAAGAAATTGTTACTTGCAATATTAATCCCCTGTTAACTGGGGAGGAAGAATCTACCTGTCACTATAGGGATGAAGATCTGGGGGAGCTCTGGTTTTGCATTCGACCCCCTACCCTGCCCTGTGACTCACTGGAGGGACATTCAAGTGAACATTACTGGAATGTGACCACACCACATGAGGAGGCCCTGCTGGTGTGGTAAGAAACCCAACATCATCTGGGATGTGTGCCCCAACCCCTGAATTCTGGTCCCTGTGATTCTTCTACCTGAGACCCTGCCCTTATCATTCATCTACTCGCTTTTATTATACACACCTCCTGAGCACCTACTATATGCTTATGCCAAGTGCTGACTACT